TGATGATCTCCCAGCATCTTGTGTAGAAGGAAACTTACATCTGCTGTCACCCATGGCACACCAGGTTCCACAGTACTGCAGAGTGTGTTAAGATGCTTCTTTTCTTCAGATTGTGTCATGGTGTTACAGTAGCTTTTGCAGAGAGCTAAGTTCAGCTGAGTAAACCTGCTCACGCTGTTAAAGAAAGGGGCTCTCGGTCAAAGCTCATTACACAGCATAACTTATTTCCTGTCCTTTCAGGCACAGAGGGCCTTTCTTGATGGTTGGGTCGGACAGTTGGAAGCATTGTGATGATTTATGAAATGCTGCAGAGTGGAGACAAAGCTTCTCTCATGTGGCTGTGTGGTAGATAGTGCTCAGATGACCCATTGAGTCTTTTTTGCTAAAAGTGGAAGTGGACACTCAACCTTTAAACTTCAGCTTAACCTCTTGTGGTACCTTTGAAGAGGCTCCTTTGTTGCTTTCATTCTTCAGAAGTCATGAAAAGCTTTGACATTACTTAATGCAGCGTGTTCATTTTATTCTGAGAATGCAGTCTAAGTCAGGTGCAATGTCTCAAGGCACACTTGTTTCCAGGGCCCTTGTACTGATCTTTGGTGGGAAACCTGTTTTAATTTATGTTCTTTATTCTAGCTTACCTACAGTATATTGTTCTTCTGTGGTGACGACTGTCATTGACAAATCTTTTGAAATATTAAAAAATAATTTTATACCGCTGGTTTTCAGTTCAAGTGATTTCTTATGACATGTTCAAAAAGTTAGGATTACACCATAAGTTGGGCTAGACATTCAAATAAGATCTTATCGCAAACCACACACTCATTCCAAAGATGGGAGTGAAACAGTTTAGCTTTGCAGTTTCAGAAATGACATCAATAGCACAAGCCTATGATCTGCGTGACACTCAAAAGGTTAGAGAGATTACATGTTTCTTGGATGTTTCTACCAGTGAATCCTTTAATGTGCGTAAAAGGGTTTGGAGTTCTCAGGACTGCAAAAATCCATCAGAAGACTGTTTCCTGGAGTTCCTAGAGGGAAAAAAAAATCTAAGAGGTTTGCTTCTTAGAATAAGCCATAGAGGTCCAGCATAACCTATGCAGGATGTAATACAAACACGTCTGTAAAAGCAAAGCTGTTGATTTCACTCTGTTCATCTCAACTAAGAGAAGCAGATCTACATTGTGTCAATGCAGAGTGGGGCCCTTGTTGAAGTAATGTGCTTATTTTGCTTTGAGGTGAACGAGCTGAATGAAAAACCATTGAATTCTCGATGTGTCATTTTTGTCTCATGTCAGCACACTCGGCTATGAGATGAATCATTTGTTTTTAGCCGTTAGCTATATCAATTTAAGCGAAAGCAAATCTGTACATGAGCGTATGAGAAGGGTGGGGTTGGAGCCTGTAGAGGGTTCTTTTAGTGAAATGGACTGGTGTGTTCATCCTTATGCTTCTGCGAAAGGCTCCAGGTGCATTGACCCTTTCCAGAACAAGCAGCTTTCTGATGATGAGGTGGATGTCGTTGAATAAAATGAATGTTCAACAGAATAAAGCAAAGAAAGCAGACCTTTTACAGCAACAAAGGTGTGATAAACGCTTTTTAAATAGATAAGTCAGACGTACAGTGGCATTGATCTTCCTTTTCTTTGCTCCTATTACGTCAGTAACTGAACTCGTGATCTTGGGGGAACAGTCGTGTCGAGCTGGCTGAGATGATTGACACTCTTTTTTATCTGCAGTGTAGCGTTTCTTGAAGGTTGAAGGAGCTTGTCTTCCTAGACAAACAGGTCTTTCTGAATCTGCTGCAGGTGCTTCCTAGCACCATATCTTACATTGCAGATTTGCTTTTTTTGTTTGAGGCCAAAGGAATAGGTTAAAACAAATCTGATGTTGATCTGAACCTTGTGTGGTCCATGCGAGATGTGAACTTGAAACTGAAAAGGCGTTTCTGTTAGCTTTTTATTATTGTAGTCATTATCTTTTTCCCAAAGAGCCCACCTATTTGGCTGTATATTGCCCGTGGTTATCACACTCTCATCTGGTAAGCAGTTAGACACAGTGTTGTAGTAAACCATACAGATTACAGTATTCTGCCTGACGAAAATACAGATAAACTCCAAGACTGAGAGTACCAATTTTTTATGTTGGCAATCTTAACAGGTTTGCTGAATTCTTGGAGAATGACCCCCTTTTCTGTGTTTTCAAAAGCCCTTTCCTGAAAAACCTGAAGCATTCCGATTTTGTTTTATTTCTCCTCTCAGACATCTTCTATGTCTTTAAGAGACTTTGTGCTGCCACCAACCTTGGTGTTATGAGTAGCCAAATTAAGGTTCATGCTGTTTTTCCTTTAAAGGTTAGCCAATTTTCTTTGGCATGGAGGGCTTAATGGTCAAAGTTGAGCTTCATTCATGTCAGCTCAGAATAGCAGAAAAATACCCAGTACATTGGACAGTTATTGATTGATGACCTGGTTTATGGCGACAGTAATAGAAAAATAGCCATGGCTGCTCCTAATAAGACATTTCATTTATGTGTGTAGCTAACATGACAGCTTGTACAGTATATATAGAATGTGTTTTAAGAACAGCTGGAAGATTTTTTTTATTTCAAAATCTTTGCCAGCCTTCTGTAGAACACTGGATTGTGTTTTGCTTCTTTCTCAGTGTTGTACTCGATGTGATAGTATGTCAGGTTCAGACAAGATAACAGCTGCCGTCTAAAACACATTCCCCAGAACGCTGGCGGGGAATGGCCTGCCATCCTCAGTCCATTGTCCAATTGGTGGAAGACAATGGGGTGGGTGAAATTCAAAAAAGAAAATTTTTTTCCAGTGGTCTGTCAGATCTGTTGACCAAAAAAGAGAGCAGATCCTCTGTTACACCAGGATAAGAGAAAATAGGAAACCTCCATTTTTCTCAACTGAAATCTCAACTTCAGCATGGGAGATGGGTTTGAGATGGTAAAGACATGACATCTTTTGTGGCTTATTGGGCATCTGTGGGATTTTGGTGTCATGTCCTCCAATCAACACTAATTCAACCGCTGGTGCTGTGGGGCTCACAGTGTAAGGAAACAGGCAGACAGCTCAGAGACGCTCATTCTGGAAGGCGTGTGAATGTGATCTTCACTTCCATACCAATTCAAGCCTTACAACTGGAAGCAGAGCTGATTTACAACTGGCAATTCAGGTTTGGAAGAGGATATAAGAAGAAGAGATTCTGAAGATCTGAGTAAAGGTAGATATTGTCTGTGTCAAGTAGTTTATGGGGTTCTGGACTCCTCAGAGCAAGGGGTTTTACCCAGGATGTGCCAGCAATCTGCTGTATAAATAAATACCGATTTATATGTATAAAATAGGTAATTGTAATCTCCGTTAGTTCACTATTATAAATAATAAAATGATAGCACTCCAAAATATTTGCTCTACTCCCTGGGGTGTCCCTTAAAGGGAAGGAGAGGAGTCGTGCACACTTGTCTGCTTAACGCTAAAGAAACAAGGATGAGTTCTGGCCCTCTGTGGCCTTGGCCTTTGAAGAGCTGAGCCAACAGTTAATACAATTTTTTTCCCCACAAATGCTTTAGCAGTTCGAGACTGTATGGTGAGACTTTTGCCAAGTTTTAAAATAACTGGTGTTGAAATGTCAGAGCATCAGAACAGTTTGACAGGGTTGGCTTGTGAGGCAGCAGCATATGCTGTTTGTTTTCAGTATTGCAGTGAGGTGAATACCCATCTTCTGTGCAATGTTGTACCGAGAGCTAACATAGCAGTAAAGAACTACAACTCCATATAATTTGATGGAGATGTATTATACAAGGGTTGACCGCTGTATTTCAGTGAACAGCTGCAGGATGTTTTCATGTCTGTGCTAATGAATAAAGATAGTAACACACCAGATGCAAAATCCATGATCTCCATCATTAAATTCTCTTTGAATCCTTGCCTGATTAATCACAAATAAAAGGCTGGCCGAATCTCCCAGTGCCTTACCACACTGAGCAGTTTATCACAAAAGATTCTTTCTAACTGGGGGCAATCCACCACTGCAGAGAATCAATACCTACTGTATTGTAGGTTCTTAAAATTCCAGAAATGCGTTTCTTTAAAAACTGTTTTAACAGTACACACCTTTATGTATTTATATGTGCAGTGCATAAATAACGTAATCGGGCATTTGCTGTTGAATCTCATGTGCAGGCAAAAAAAAAGGTCACGTACTAGAGTTGACAAATGGTTAAGGACCCACAAACAGAGATAAAAGTTAAGTCACATATGGTGAAACTGGCTCTGGAACAAGACTCTGCAAAGGTAAACTGCCTGTGTCTCTATCATATGTATGTCTCCTGGCTTCAAACTGGGTCCCTGAGTTATGCCTGTCATGTGTCAAAGAGTCGATGCTGGAACCTTTGATGTAAATGCACAAGAGCAGCATTTATTGTGAATATATTCCAAGCCAGACCTGGCCTGTGAGCTGCTTGTTTTTGTTGTCTTTGTCATCGCCCCAGGTGTGCATTGTAATGCTGTCCCTGTTCAGATAGTTTAATTCTCTTATCTGCGTTATCACGCTTACACAGGATTGTTTGGTTTGTTATGTGCTTATAGGATTTTTCTTTCCAAAACGTGGCTATGAGAGGGGTTTTTTGAAACTGGCGTATTTTTAGTCATTCAATATGTCAGTCTGGAGTCCAGAACAATTCGCAGATTACAAAATACAAGAATATGAGGTCCCTTAAGTTATGTTATTTTCAACCTTTCAGACTGAGGAGACATTTTTGCAGTTGGTTTCATTTGAATCATTATTCTCTTGTGCATACCTAAACAACAGAAGGCTATTGTGTAAAAAAGTGTCCGCTTACAAATAACTTTGAATTGTGTTTAAAACTGAGCTTCTCGTATACTTTTTTCTCATATGCTTGGTGGCCATTTTAGAAGCAAAGGCAAGGTAGGTATGTAGCCTGAGGTTAAATACATCAACACAGGTCATTTTTCCCTCTTCTCTGTGCAGGACTGGCTGAGCAAGTTTGGTTATCTCCCACCGCCAGATTCAGTAACTGGACAGCTTCAGACCAAGGAGGCGCTCACTGAAGCCATCAAAGCCATGCAGAAGTTCGGAGGCTTGGAAGAGACAGGAGTTCTAGGTCTGTGTGTGTTGCTATGCAAAAAGTGGCAAGGTTTGGCTAATTAAATATTAGGGACACTCTGAAGAAGCAGATTAGAAGCACTCCAGCCTCTCTAAAGGTTGTGCCTCTATTCTGTGCGTAGTGTAACTTTAGGAACTCTGACAGGGTCCAGAATAATGCAAATGTCACCAGACACCCCCAGCACGTTTGAGTCTGTAACTCCTAATAACTTTCAATTTCAGGTGAGTTATAGCTGTTAAACGCCTAGTGGTAGCCTAGTTTATTTCACCTGGATTCAGTGTCATGTTGAGCTTTGAAATCTTTATACAAATAGTTTTACAGGATTATCTGTGAATGGGGATACACAGGGAACACCATTGCTTAATCGTTTGTTTGATGTTGATGGCGAAGCAGTGCAGGCTTCACCAATGCATGTCATCTAACAAATATATTTTGGCATGTACCAGAGACTCGTGAATTAATATTGAACATTTGATATCAAACAAATGTTTAATTAGAGCAGAGCACCCCCCCCACACACACCCATGCCAGCTATTACTGAATTGTTTTTTTAGGATTCATAGCCAAGTAAGGAGAAGCACAGCAGGCTATCATTGGGCATTTCGGTGGATTTTAACTCAATGTGAATTGAAGGCAACTGAGGGATGACAGACAAATTAAATAGTTCTGTTAAGTGAAGACCTTAAAGGAAACAGTTCATGAACATTATATCATTATATCTAAAGCAAGTTAGATTTTCACCCATTTATTCAGTTGGTATTTTACTGCAACAATTCAGGTGAAGCACCTTGCTCAACAATTACAAATAGAAGTTTCACTTGGGATTTGAACCCTTCACTTACAGTATGTATCCAGAACCCTAACCCATTGCTCCACACTATGCTTTTCCTGTAACATCACATTGATGCACTTCTAGTGTTTTCAGTGAATTTTGTACTTTACCCTCTGTAGTGATCTCTTGTCCTCCTGAGCATGTCCTGAGTAGCTAATTGTTTCTGTTTTCTTGGTTTGGAGTCCAGATGAAGCCACGCTGGTACTGATGAAGACCCCACGCTGCTCCCTCCCAGACATGTCCGATGCAGGGATGGACTCTGGGAGGCAGAAACGAGCAGCCTCTAGCCCGACAAAGTGGTACAAAAGACACCTGTCCTGGAGGTACATGCGTCTCAAGCACGCTTGTCGAAAACAAGCTATCAGAATGAGGGGTGGCTTGATGAGTAGCTTAGAGCTCTGAGATTGACATCCATTCACAAGAGAATTTAGAAACTACAGTCTTTTTTAATGAGCAATGTCAGAGCTATACATTCTTACTTAAGGCATACATTTACACTTAATTATGCAGCAGAAACTTACCTGCCAGCTTTGTGATGAAAAGTACCTTGGCAATAATAAAACTTTTAGAATATAGGAGACAGTCAATCACTTATGAGAGAAATCACACAGAGCTGAAAGATAGAGACTAGAAATCCCCTCAAAGCTTCATAATCTTACAGGAATCGGTGGGGAGTCTCAGAAGGATGCTGTGTCATTCCAAGAAACAAGAGATGCTCTTTTTTCTCGTCCTTCTACAATATCACTATCTACCAGGGCAGCAAACACTTCCTATTACAAAATGGCTTTATATTTCAGACTAAGCAGAAATATTCAGGATAAAAATAAGTGAAAAGATTTTTGGATGTTTAAACATGTCTTTAAAATAGGACACTAACCTTTCAGTTTCCATGTATTAAAATGTTTCGTCTTCTTGTGTAATTAGATCTGTGCAATACAACACAACACAACACCAATCATAGAATAGAGCAGACACTTCCACTGGCGTGTCTTGTAGCTTGACTTTGTGATTTTTAATGGAGACATTCAGTCACAGGACTCCTATTTGTGGCACTGTAGTGGAAGCATTTTGGGAAATGCAGAAAATTCTGCAATCTCTGAAGCATGTTCTGAACACCATGAGTTACAGAGTTAATTCCAAGGAATCAGCTTGTGATTTATTTCTTAAAATATGAGGCTGTAAGCAAGTGCAGTTAGAAAATCTGGCCTAGTGTCAGGTTGATAGTGGTTATTTAATAATATTATTTGAAAACTGATAATTGTTATTTTGTGTTCAGCAAACCGGATAATGGGTGATGAAGTCAAAGCATCAGACCACCCTGAGAAAGAATGTATTGTGGCTAAGCCTGTAGGAAAACCTCTTAAGCTTTCTGTCTTTTCCTCTGTATATCAAGAGTCTTCCCAGGAAATCTGTGGATTATGCCATCATTACAGTAGAAGGAACTCGTTACTTGTGACTTAACTTTGTCATTAAGATCCAAAGAGATTTAATTGTTTCTTTAACTTGCTCAGATATTAAGAAATTACATTTATATTAGGGTATGACCACATTTAAAAGAAAAGCATGGTTTGAACATGAATTGTAGTATTTCCCACACAAAAACTTTTTTTCTTTTATCTTCATTTTTTTTATATTTTGACACACTGTATCTGCTGACTTGGTCACCTTTCATGGTCACAGATCCAGACTGTGAATATAAAACAGAAAGAAAAAAGAGGAAAGTTGCATCCAAATGTGCTATTTTTCATACTTGAAATTTTGCATACGGCCAATGTCTCTGAAGCAGATAGATATGATTGAGACTGACATTGCTAGAAGCACTTTGGAGTGCTGCAAGATAAGCTGCTGAATGATGAGAGCAAGTTCCTTTGCTCACATTATTAAACTGTGTAACTGTAGGTCTCCTTGTAATCTGTCAGATTGTAGTGACTGTCCTTTCATTCCCCTTTTACCTTTTAACTTGAGGTCAGACGATCTGCTTAATATAATGATCGAGCTTGTATGCTGTCACATGCTTAATTGGTTTAGACCACTAGTGCACAAGATACACTGTCTGTAGTAAATAAATACACATCAGCCACATCACCTTAATCTTGACCAGTCGCGGCTGTACTGCAGTGTGCATTTCTTGTTATCTTGCACAGAAAAGATTCTCAAAGTCACCTCCTTTGACACTCGATAAATGGATGCCACAAATCCCATTTTACAGTGGGTTTTTGCATCACCCTAGCAAAAGTTCTAGGAAGATTCCAAATCTAAACCCATTGCTTTGTAAGGATAACGTGCCATTTTTTAAAGTTGAAGATTAGTGTTGTGTTGACAGTATCACCCAGGTAATCACAGTAGTACCTGGCAACAAACAAGCAGTTATACTGCTGTGTTTTGCTACAGTTTTTAATTTAACATGCCAGTAAATTTTATTTCCTACTTTGTTTGGGTTTCTGCACGTAGTCTGTGATGTTATCTCCTAGTGAATCTTTCTAATATCCCCTTCCTACTTGTTGGAGCCATCTTTCTTAATCGCTAAGGTCCTATGACAGCTATGCATTCTCATTCATTCCACTTTGTGCTCTAAAAGTACACAGCACTTTCTGTTTTTAAATTATGCAGGCTTCCCCCTACCAAAGAAAGCAGCTGGCACAGAAGAAAATCCTTGCATCCAAACTGCTTTCACTAGTATGCCCGGTCAGTTGCTTTTTCTGTGCTTTCAATGCAATGTGTCAGACATTAATAAAGTAATTTGCTTAAAATGACACTTTGGTTTTGTGTGAGGGTACAGTGCCAGGGAGTTTGGCTACTCATCTTTTAGACATCTGTGATTAAATATTTAGTTAATGTTTCCTGAGGTTAATATATGCACCAGTTAACATTCAAATAAGAGGCATTTTTATGTGGCGCTGAATGTGAAAGAATAAAAATAGTAGCAAATGCATTTTCACAAAACACAGTTGCATTTAGATGTGCTACTAACACTTGGCTGTGAACAACTTGCGTTCGTTTCACCATGTGGAAGGTTGTAAAGATTACTTAGCCCATCTAGAAGAGTCTGCAGCTATGCTCTTTGTATCTTAAAATTCAATAACTAGTTTGTCAAGGAACTAATACATAAAATTAATATCCGAATAAAGTTGAATTGCCCGTCAAAAGTAGCAGCCACGTTTTAAATATAATTAGTATTGATTAGTTAAAAAATCTGCAATATCTAATTGTTCCTAATCATTCGTTGCATTGATTAGATGTTAATGAAGTCGGGAATCCTTTTGTAGTTATTTTGAAGCATATCAGGTCTTTTCCCAACTAGGAAATTCAGTGTAGCACTTTTAATATTTCCCATTCATCTCTTTGTGGAATTTGGCAGCATTAATATAAATACCTAAAAAGTCTGGCACCTGCAAGGCTGATTGTATTAGATATCTGCATTCCAGTTTTTAGTGAACCTGCTCCAGTTTTTCCAAAGTAGCTTATGGAGAACTAGGCTTCAACAATTGCTGCCACAGAGTCAGAGTCGGGCCTCACATTTCATGAAGAGGTTCGGTATCTCTCTCTGGGTGCCGCACAGTGAGGTCGGTAGCTGATCCAGGGCTTGTTCCTCCTGGTAACAAGCCCTGTCCTTTGATTGCCACCTAAATCCTGCTCTTGTGCTTGTTTGCTTTGCCCTCACATGAAACACAATCACTCAGTGAAGTCAGAATAGAGGTGACGAGTATTGATTTACTGGCTCCTGTTGTGATTTTGTGGTGATATTAATGCTCGCAGATGCATGTTCATACAGTATGTGTAGCTCAATCCAATCTGTGCCCCATAACACTGTCTTGTAAAAGTGACACTAGATGAAAACACAAATGGAAGAGAAGCAGCAAATGCTCCCTTAATCGAGCAGTTAACCTTTCTACAGGGAGGTACAGAACCACTATTGTGGTGTTTAGCTTGCCTTGGTAGCCAAGAAGATGCGGGGAAGAAAACCAGAGAATTGTGTGCTCATCTACCAAACGTTTTCCTTCTAAGACTGCCAAAAGAGATAGATTCACAGTTATTTTACAGCAGGTTTTCAATGGCCAAAAAATCTCAGTCTTAAAGGCTTAAGGACTTACTTTTGGCTGACTTGTTACACTTGCTAACGCTGGGTGAGTCCCGGTTCGTTAGACATCCCTTTTACAGCGTTTGTACAGTAGGATCATAGGCTCTTCTAAATGGAGTGAGTGGAGAAACTTGTGATGATTCACAGCATTTTTGACAGGAAGGGATTTGTTCAAAGTTGATGTTTTTTGTGTGTCAAATTTGTTTCACTTTATTTAACAAAATTGTCACTACTGATTTTGGTCTCCTTGGAGATTTTAGGGCATATTGGACATTCCGTCAACATAATCTTGGCATTTCATTTCCGTTGTATGTGTGTGAACAATTGGAAGGTTATTTAGATTAAAAACGAGAGGTTAACATAAAATGTATATGGTTTGAGCTTTTGCAGTTTTAGTTGTCAGTTTAATCTAACTCACCAGAATAAAAGCAAATTAGGGCTGACAGACTCAGCCTAAAGAAAACCTGTAATGGCCTAACTTCCGTTGCATTAGATCTTTTTCTTGCCAGCCTGTAAATATTCATTAGGAAACCTTTTTAAATTTAAAAAAGGTGATTTTAATCTTCCTTTAAATAGTACAATCAATCCAAAAGTAATCACACAATAAAAGTAGCAGAGCTACTCTATATCAGGCGTTTGCCTTTTCGTTTGTCTTAACTGCTACATATGCGATATCCTGATGTTATGCTATATGTTATGAAGTAAAAAGTCTAGTTTCCTCTCCCACAATATATCCAAAAACTTGTTCTGCTCTAAGGAAGATGCTGACAATGGAATTTACTTTGATTTTTTCCACAGACTTAAGTTTCAATAGGTTCATTTCTTCCTTTGAAGATTTGATATTCAGATTTCACTTGGTCTTAGTAAAAAAAGTAGTAGAAAATGAGTAAAGAACATTTATAAAGAACATTCAAGTCAGTCATTTATTTGCCACGTCAGTTAGTTGCTAAGAGCAGTTTAATTTAGACAAAGTTGATACTATAACCCAAAGTCCTCTGAGGCCGTTTTCTTGAAGAACGTGGTGTGTTGCCTCAAGCATTAACTTGGGGTGCTTGCTTGCACACAAATACACCAGACACATCATGCCTGTATCTTGTGGAACCACGAACTGTGAATTTTATCTCGCACTCCCCGTTGGTCTTTCAATTTCTAATGCCTTGCCGAGGAGTAAATTTGGGCTTATATATAATTTGACAGCAGACAGCAGCAGGGAAGAGAATATCACATTGAGCAGTGAGGCTTTGACAGCGTTTCGTCCCACTGTTCTTTTCAAGAAGTCTTCCTCCCATCCCCCCCCCCATCCAACCCCTCCCCACCGTGAAACGTTTCCAGTCATGGGGAGAACGCCGTGTGATCCCACTACAGCTGGCGTATAACAACTCACTTTCATGACTGGGGATGAAAACCCAGTTTCTGACAGCCATGATGATGATTGGCAGTTGTTGAGAGATCCTGGCTGTTTAGTGACAGCTGGGATGGTGTGCTGGAAGTTGAGCTGGAAAGCGGCAGCTATCAGGGAGAGCACAGGTGAAGGCCGGAATTATTCTGCAAGATGGATTTTTTCCATGTATCGGTTTTCCTACTGGCATTCTTCTAATACAGTCTTTGCAGTGGATGTGTGCTCAAGTCTGGGGCAGAAAATGAATTCCCAAAAGGCAGTAGGTTGCTCACTGCTCAGCTCCTTTTCTCCTGTTGTGTGTGGATTTCTCCCACCTGAGGTCTCCTATTTGTGAATCCCATGTCAGCCTTGGCTTAGCAGATCTGAGTGTTGTCAAGCACTGGGTTGCCAGGTAACCAGAACTGAAGTCACAGTTTCATTTTTGTTTAATGCCAGCAAAGCTGAACTGTGCCGGTAAGTCTATTAAGTGTGTCTAGCTGTGGAAGATAAATTAATCCTAGACAAAGAGTAAAGCTCTTCTTTTTTTTTTACTTGACGTTTTGAGTGTCCTGAATTATTCTTAATCTCTATTCACTGATGGAGAACTTCAATTGCAATTTAAGGAGGAGAAAAAGCATTGCACTTGTTTGTATTGTGTTTTTTAGGATAGCATTTCACCCTCTGCATAGTAACAGCCTCAGGCCCTATTATGTAAATTCACACCTTGACAGCTTTCAGGAATGAGAATACGCTTACGCACTCTCCAATTTAAAATATTTAGATTGGTATTATGTGCTCATAGGACATAAGAAGGGTTATAAATGAGAAGAGGACATTCAGCCCATCCAGCTTAGTTGCTATTTTTAAAAATTTCGTCCCGCTGTTGATCGAAAGAAACCAGAGCATTAATCTGACAATTTTGACAACATTGCTGGGCAGATTGTTTCAGACTCCCACAAACCTTTTTGTATAAAAACTGACAAAAATGACAAAAACAAAGTGGGGTTTGTTTGCTTTTTTAAATTTAATATTAGAGTATAGAGATTCGGGGATAAACCCTTGCTGCAGAGTCGGCTACCCTTCTTTCATGCCAGGGGCGTGTGTGTGCTCCTTTGGCAGGGTCCGGAAGTTTCCGAAGGAGTCCCACCTCCTGGGCCACGACACCGTGCGCGCGCTCATGTACTATGCCCTCAAGGTGTGGAGCGACATCGCGCCGCTCAACTTCCACGAGGTGGCCGGCAGCGAGGCGGACATCCAGATCGACTTCACCAAGGCCGACCACGACGACGGCTACCCCTTCGACGGGCCGGGGGGCACCGTGGCCCACGCCTTCTTCCCCGGCGACAGCTACGCGGCCGGAGACACCCACTTCGACGACGACGAGTCGTGGACTTTCCGGTCCCCAGGTCAGTCCTGCCTCATGAGCCCTGGAGGACACAACCCTGCTCTCACCACTCCCGTCAGACCAGGGGTTTCCGGTCCTGATCCAGGTCCTGGTGCTGGTCCAGGTCTTCAAGGTGTTTTTAAGGCGGCGGCCTTTTTAAGAGCTGGGAGGAGCCATTCAATTGGGCCAGTTAAGCCAGTAACCAGCTCGTTTACCTCGTCAAGAGTTGGAATGAAAACCCCCAGACTAGGCCCTTCAGGACCAGGGCTGGACACCCCTGGTGGACGTTTCATTTTAGTCTTGATACTGTTTTCCATGATAGAATTGGGGGGGGGGGGAGGGTAAGGGACCTTCTGACAATGTACAAAATGTTTAGGAGGTAAGTCTGCAAGGTTAAGTATTATTGTAGGAAACCTCAAGTTAAGATAACTTGTGTCTCTGCGTCTGTCTTCTTAAAGTGATGTCCCCACACGCCACTCTGAAAAAAAGTACACTCAACTCGCTTAAACTTACATGGTTGGCCCTGGAAGATACAAAATATCGAAAAAATGCTTTATTCTCCTGAAAAATTCATCAAGCTCGCCTATGAGTGCTAGTAAGTGAGCCTATACAGTCGTCATTAAATTTAATTGACTATTTTTTATTATATTTGATAACTTGAATTACCCTAAGAGGTTAGTAGGGGTTGTTTATAAGGGTTATATGGTCAAATATGACTAAACGCGAATTTGGCTTTTCTCACAACTCCAAACCCTGTGGAAGTTGCAGACTGCCTACATTACCAAAGTAAACTCTTTCTCACTAATATACTTTCACACTCCTAACCAATTTCTTGGTCGGATTTTAGTATGAAGGTTTGCCCCCCCCAAACAAAGTTTCGTTTAGAGTTATTGGCAGAGGCAAAGACGTCCAGGATTTCTTCTTCAGTTGCACTTTTGTATTTCCACATGGCAGTTGTACAGATGAGGCTGAGCGCATTGAAGGCACTTGTGACTAAGCACTGTAGGTTGTGATGTGGATTTCCCATCTGTAATGTTGATTTGCTGTGTTGCCATTTCTCACAGTGCTGCTGAGAAGTGCTTTACTTTATCGCTTAGAGGTGTCAATCCATATGCTCCTCAATTTGAGCTCATTTTGCTTCGGTTAGAGCATTCATTCCTGGCACAATGCAATTACCAGCTGTTCAGATCAAGCTCTGGAGCAGTATTTAGAGGATCTGGCCAAAGAGCCGTGTGCCAGATGGAAAACATGACAGTGGTGAAAGCGAAACGGAAAAACTCTGTCTTCCCATCAGAGACACACTGTGATTGATGCTTCATTTCTCATTCATAATTTCTGTTTTCCTCCACTATCACCTTTGAGGCCCTGGCTGCCTTTATCATCAACATTGAAGGACAGACAATTTCTATTTTCAATGCCATTTCCATTAAGTGAAAAGATACTTTTAGTCCCCTGATCTGTTTTTATCATTTTTTAATTTCTGATATTATAGTTGTAAAGTATATCGTCAAACATGCACTACAGCATTAGCGGATAGCTTCCATATCTGAGCCATATGGTTGCTTTAGCATTAGGTGGACTGGAGAGCATGTGACTCCCAGCTTCCACCTGGGTTGGACACCAGTTCATCACAGGAATCACCTGCACCAGTGCTGGTCTCCACTAATACAGCCGGGTGAACTGGAGCACCTGGGTAAAATATCTCACTCAAGGTACAACAGCAGTGACTTAAAACAACAACCCACCAGTTAAGTGTGTTACCCACTATGATAAGCTGCCTTATACAACAATAGCATTAAGGAAAAAACTTTCATGCTTAATCATATCTTCCATTTCAAATAGATGGAAGTCCACAAAATCAGTCTCGTAATCCATATGATTTAAGGTACTGCATTCAGTGTTTTTTTTTATTTCTGTACATATGCAGATTTTTAAGGAATTGTGAAATGATTTTCCTGGAACTGTCATTTTTGTGGGAATGCTTCTGCCATGTTTTAGAAAAGTAATAGTCTTAAATAACTTCCAAGGACAGCGTGCTCTTCAGCTCCAAACAAATGTGTTATCTGAGTGGAGTACGTGCTTAAACCACTTGAGAAGACAAATCTCGCAAGAAGATGAATATTTTAATTCAGTTTTTTTTTGTTTCGTTCGTTGCTTAGATTGCTATTTGTTTCTCCACATGGAAAGCTGGGGCGCTTCTGATGCTTGACATGGAAAGGCATGCTGGAATCAAAGCCTCTGAATATGCTGCCGGAATTATGATGTTTAATCCAACTCTGTGCAACCTGATTCCCCAGGGGGGGGTATTAATATGAACAAACATTAAGTATTCCATTATAGTTCATAAACCGCACCCTGCTGGTTAATTGAAGAAAAAAAATGCATCTCAAAAAAGTCCCTTTCACTTTATCTACCCTTCCAGTAAATAAGCAGACCGCATTCTACAAAGGTCATCAGATAGTTGCTGCAATGATTATATTTACGATGCCAGTGATTTTGCTTTTGTTAATTACCTTTTGTCAAGGTGGCTAATGCAGGCTGATTATTTTGGCTGAAACTGCGCACTCTGGACTCATTAAATGAATACATTTTGATGACTTGCACAGTATTTGGAGCGCGCGTGTCAGACTGACGGTAGAGCACAAAGAATTCCTGCCCGCCCATCATAATAGTGTGGCTGCAGTGCCGCGGCAGTCTCATTAGCAACCGCTGAGTGCATTGTCGCACAAACTCGGCGTATTCAGAGGGCTTATTAAGGTTCCCCCCTTGAGTGGCTGCATATGAGGACAGGGAGGTTGTTTATGTACCCACCACCTTAGGCAACAATCTGTGATTGGCTTTATCTCTCGGAGTGCCATCTTAACTTCAGACCTTGAGGGAAAGCTTGACATCCCCGAGGCGGCAGCAATGTGACCTTCACCTGCGCTCTTCTCTTCCGTAGCTGTGCTACATTTTTAAAAGCTACACACACTTGTTACACAGACAAGTTCCCTCTTGAGAGCAAGTCAGGTACAGTATTTCAGCAGAGTGGCAAGGAGACACGCCGTTTCAAATTGGCCCGTGTCTGCCAACTGCTACGGCACGTGCTCCTTCACCAAGGTGAGCCTGGCGAGCTGCAGATATGTTCGGCTTTGACTGAAACAAAGTGATTGTTTGATTTAAGCCAAATTGCATTACCTGATTACACTACTAAAATAATCCCATTAATCAAGCAATCAGCTTTTTTTGGCCCTTAAGCAAATGAGGGCTGTAAAGATTTGTGGAATGTCAATGCAAGCAAATTTCTCGCAGTCTCAGGGAAGCACATTTAACACGCACTGTAGGAGTGCGGTCCAATTCAGGCTTTTCGAGCCACAGCCCCACGTCCTGATGAACCATGAAAGTGAGAAGATAATATGGATTTCTGTCAATGTCAATACCCAGGGGAATTATGGGAAAGGAAGTGGGTGTGTATTGAGTAAGACACTTGGGTTGACATTAAAGGGATTGTTACTCCTGTAACTTGAACAGAATATACAGAGTGCCGCATATTAGAGAAAGGGCAGATGCAGATGGCTACTAGCAAAATATAAGCAAAGATATATACAGTAACAACATCAACAGTAACCCTCCCCAAGAAGGTTGTATAGCCTATATATAATTTGGTGGTAAATTGTAACTTAACAAAATACTTGATTGAACTGAAAAACAGTCATTGTGATGACATCTATCTTGGACATATATAAATATTCATTATAAGTAGTGTTTTATAAATGAGGCACTCAGGTTGTAGGTTTAAATCCAAGACTTTTACCGCATTTTAAATATGTCCTTTAAGCAAAAAAGGAAATAATTCACAGCATGCATTTTTAATTTCCAAACCCCCAGTTCATTTCGCTATCCTCTCTGTGGTATTACCCCTCAGGCATTATTTTTAGGTGTTCTTAAAAACAGGAGGTAACCTGAGGCAAAACAAAACCTGCATATTTAGCTCTTCAGACCAGCTTTTCTGTTCACATATTTCTAATACAAGTTATCTTGGACATACGTGTTATGCAGTTACAAACCTAACAGCAAAACTAGAAAAATACAAGTGAGGGAAAATAACATCAGTGTAGAATCACAGTATTTGCCCTCAAGCTTTACTTTGTACATCTATCATAAAAATTAGAATATCAACAGAGAGCCTCTGACCTTCAGCTCAAATTGGTATCAGGCGATTACTCCGACATTGAGTCTAATTAATTTAATTTACATAAGGCTTTCATATGAAGGATCCCAAAATGCTTTATGTATAGGAAAGTATGCACTTCATCCACCATTGAAGTGGGAGAAGCTAACCTGTCTCTACGGGACAGCAAATCAGTTAGAGAAATGAGGAAGTGCTTCACCAATTGAATTAAGGGAACATTCTAGGGTGGTGTCAAAGCCTAGAGTGCAATTTGGGACTTGGACACTGGAGTAACACCCCAGCTCCTACAAAGCTCTATAATGACAGAGTAGTTTGGGTTAACATCTCATCCAAAAGATGAAAATATTAGCACTGACTAGCCAGTTTCCAGTGTTCTTTAACTCCACACATCTGTCATTGAGAATTTCCTCACAGTAAGACACCACATGTGACATATTCAACATCTGGTGTTGGCAGATGTTAGTTCCAGCACTGTGTAAAACCTGCAATGGACACAGTTGCTATGCAGTAGGAGATTTGTGCTTCCTCATGCCCATTTAATGAACCAAACCCTGGACATATGAAGCATCATCAACATTTTGACTTTTCTACCTTGTTGCACAGACATGTCATCTTTCCTATACTTTTCCTATGATCTGTAGAAATCCCCTACTTTAGTAGGATATTCGTATTAGGAGAGATGAAAATTCAGTTTCAAAGAAGATAATATTCTCTTTCTCTGAATAATGACTGAAACTTTCAGGAAGTTTGTCACCAGGGAACTGTGGTATGGTGGGTTAAATTTAGTATAATTTTGGATGTGCTTTTTTAATTGGCTTTTTTTCTGCTTAAGCTGTTGTTTTTCACTGTCACACAGCAGAGAACTAGAAGCATAGTGCAGCATTCCTTAAGAGCTGGAAGAGAACATAGATAAATACCTTTTTTCTGTACCTGAAAGTTGGCACTTCTTCAGGCACTAACAGCTTTTAATTTTAGGACTTGGAGGAGAGCACAGCAGGATTATTATTTTGGTTGTAGGAGTTGAGTTTTTAAAGCCACAGATTCTTCAATTTTGCCCCCTGTGGCCTCAGAGGCAGCCACTGTAACTTAAAAACCGGGTGTCTGGATATTTCTCTTTCTCATTTTGGCTTATCATTCTCAGCAGTCTCCGCCTCCACCAGCTGTTGTGGCAAATTTGTGATATGGCAAAAAGAGTTGCCACCTGTCATAAGCACTCCTGTTGGCCACCTCCTCCCGAGTGCAGATGAAAACAACGAACTTAAAAGAAATCAATTACCCGCCTGTAGAATTGTGCCAACAGGAGGGCGGCACCAAAACCACAGCCTCGAGAACAGCTCAGCTTGTCCCGGGCACTCAACTTCCATTCCCTTCTCATTGTATTGGTGTTGCTGTCACATTCCTCTTGTGAATGTGAACCTTTTTTTTTTTTAACTCTGATGACCTGGCTGGAGTGTAAATGTGTTTTTCTGATTTATACAAAAGAAACAAAATCTCAGGAAAGACTCTGTGGAGGCCGATGCAAGTCAAGCCCCGAATGGTTGCTCCTTTAATCTGCTGTCTTTAAGACTAGATTTAGGGACGTGCAGTATGTCCAACAAAAGCATACATTTTCAATAAACATGCGCAAACAGGCTTTCCAGTCACAGACAACTCTGCAATTCTACTTTATAGGAATTTATTCCTCTCGCACTCACTACCTTTCGGTCGGTTTAACCCTGCGTTAAATAAATCCCCCTAATTTGCCTGACTAATTGACCATTAACAATCTATTCATCTTTTCCTTGTGTGACTTTTTGACAGATGAATTACCCAGTTAAGCTTAATGTGTTAAAATACACTCTACAGTACTTAAATTGTGGTAGAGACTATAATACTTGTGAAATAAGACGTTTTAGAGCTTCTAATTCATCTTATGACATTAGACTAAAACAATCCTAAACAGACTACTGTTGTAATTCTGTTAACGTATTAGTTACTGACAGGAGTGAGAAGAGGTTATTTTATATTCATAGCAAAATGTTCCTATATAATATGTATGGACTTCAACAAGAACAGTTTATTTGTGAAATATTTTTTTTCTTCAGATACTCCTTATCCCAATTTAGATTCTTAAATTTTTAATCATATAATCGTATATTGATCTGACGTATTGTAGTAACCCTTCACATTTGGGACTGCACATGCCATGAACTAATATTTCTGATACCGTATTTATAAAACATTTGCAGATTGCCAGAAATGTGATAATAACTAACGTCTACTGTAGATTTATTTTATGTTAGCAACTGTCTGTAATCCTAATCATAGTATGAGGCAGAGGATTTGAATAATGTTTTATAACATCACCAACAGCAGGCTGGGCGGCACAGTGACAGAGTGGTGCTCCAGTTTCCCCCCCCAGTCCAAAACGATACTGAGCAAGACTGGCCCTAGCGTCCGTGTGTACCTGCATCTGTATGAGTGTCCTGTCATGGCCTGGTGTCCCATCCAGCTGTACCTTGCCTTGTGCCTGTTGCTTGTTGGGATAGGCTCCGGCTCTACCACAACCCCAATTTGGAAGAAGCAGTTAGAGGACAGAAGCAGATTTGCAGGTACTTTAGGGCCTGTTGCATTAATAATCCTTACACTCACAGTAAATATGGCTTTTCTGGACACTCCCTCATTGCGCTTTACAGGTAATGGGGACTCCCCTCCACCACCACCAATACACCAGTACATCAGTACGCTCACCACACACCAGCTATTAGTGGGAAGGAGAACAGAATAATGAAGCCAATTGATGGGGTTTATTAGGAGGCCATGATGGATAAAGATCAGTGGGGGAAATTCGTCCAGGACACCAGGGTAACACCCCTACTTTTTATTTAATGACCACGGAGAGTCAGGACTTTGTTTTTAACATCTCATCCAAAGGATGGCGCCTTTCTTTACAGAATAGTTTCCCTGCCACTGTAGTGGGGCATTAGGACCCACACAGACCGAAGGGTGAGCAGCGGTCCCGACTTACTGGTCCCACTAACAAATACCCAAACTAAAGTGTCAACAAGGGGGATAGTGGGAAAAGGGCACGCTTTCTGAAATGTCAGAGTTACCAGTGTTTATGCTGTGAGTCTCCCGTAGGAATGATGCACTGCTCTCAGAGGTCAAACCTGCTGGACAGCTCAAACACTGCCAAACCTGTTGACATTATATAGATTATGTGCCACTGCTTGGGGACTCCCAGATACACCCAGTCAGTGCATAACTCATCCAGATTCGAACCAGAGATGCTTATGCTTACAACTTACTGAGTCACTCAGGATTCTACTTTTTTGATTTGTTTATTTTTAAAGATTATCCTAAATGGAAGAAAATGGTGAGGATAGGCATATTTATCTGGCAGGGAGAGTACGTTCCCAGAGCAGATGTAACAGTGTCAGCTCCCTCCAATGAAAGTCCCCTGATGCTTCTTAATAGCTGTTAGGCCTAGATATGTTTTGTATCTCAGAGGAGTTCTCTCTGATTGCTGCCACTGAATTGGTTTTATTTCTGGTGTCTCTCAATATTAACCAAGCTGATTGTCTCAAATCAGTAAGGAGAAGCAAACTGGAGCAACTGCCAATTTTGTTTTATATTATAAAAAGCCTTTGTAGCAGTGTGAACTAATTTGGATTTCTCTTATGAACGAACTCTGAATTGGGTCACAAAGTACAGAACTGTAAACTTTAAACAACATGGGGAAATTGGGAATAAAATAACAATGACAACTCAAAAATTATATTAAATAGAAATGTAATACCGTTAAGTGTCAAAGAGGTAGTTTTTAATAAAACAGACTTCTTTTTAAAGGCTTTTTTATCATTTGCAAGAGCTGATGTTTCTCAAATTGAATGTCACTTGTTTTGTTATTTGTTTCAAAGAAACCAACTGTCATTGGAAGGGAACATATGGGTTGATTTCCAGAAATATGCCCTAAAATTGTCGTTTTTGTTTCTTTCAAGATTCCCATGGAATGGACCTGTTTGCCGTTGCAGTGCATGAGTTTGGTCACGCCATTGGTCTGGCTCATACTTCAGCCAAAAAGTCCATCATGATGCCTTACTACCAAGGTCCTGTGGGAGACCCCCTCAAATACAACCTGCCCTATGAAGACAAAGTCCATATCTGGCAGCTCTATGGTAACGTTTTTGTTCATTATGCAAAGTTGAAGTAATTGTAAAGACGTCGATGATGACGATATGATTGTTTCTGTTTAAATCCTGTAAGGATACAAGTGACACCTTACATTTATACCACTCTGTTTATCCCAAACATTCCCAGAACACGTCACAAGGAGTAAAATGGAGAATTCAGTACATCTGAAGGTCTGGGAGGTCTGTGTATGTGGACCATTCCGTAGCACAACCTCATTATTAAGGAAAGTGGGGAAAAAGAGGAATTGCCTGCACAGTTAAATTGGAGAAGGGGTTGATAAACGCTCATAATTGGCAGTTGCTTATAACCTACCAAGCTGTGTTCATGAGGTCTTATGGGATGTTGCAAAATACAATGTATAACACTGATACAAACTGAGAGAACTGTTTTATTATCATTGCACAGATGTCTGCCCCAATATATCACATAGTCCATTAAAAAATCAATGAAAATTGTCAGTGAAAAAATGTAGTTTAGTTTGAGAATGCTTCAGCTGGAATTTACTCAGGGGACTATAATTTGCAACTCCACCTGCAGTATTTCATCTGACTGTTATGCTCTCAGGCTGACATTACTGTAATTTATACTTAAAAAGTAGTCTCTGTATGCTACCCACCCAAGTCTGCTAACTTAAGGTGGGGTCATAAATCTAAGAAGGTCCAATTTGTGCCAACTTCTTGAAAGGTTTCCTTGAAATACCTAGCTATCCCTAAAAAGGGCTGATACTGGCTTGTGTTCAGTAAAAAGCTGGCTGTCAGACTTCATGCTCAGATCCTATTTGATTAGTAAAGTCTATGCAAATCGTATATGTTTGAGTAAGAAGTGAGTATTGATTTCATTTGGATTTCAATCCAGTGTAACTTTGATACACTCATTCATCAAAAAAGTTAGTTTTCTCTTCCCATATTTGGGTATTTTCTTCAGAGATTTTTTTAATGAAAACAATTACCAGGAGTAATTTTTACTTGTCACGTGCTGGTTGTTGTTGGAATCCAGTGGTTAAAGCTCTACTTCATTTTCTTGGCTGTGCTGGCTGGAAGGCAAATATCCTTTACAAATCGGCAGGACTGGCGAGTATTAACCGTGTGTCCCAGCAGGGTTTATACCCGAGTGCTTAGAAATCAATTTGTTTCTCACCAGTGAGTGTGTGAGATGAATCCACAGTAGCAGTAAGGGACACTCATCACGGATTAGATTCCCTGAACAGGCTTGCCACCTTAAAACAAAAATTCAGGGGAGAAGCAATTTGCAATAAAACAGTCTAATAACAAGATTTCTAAGGCTCGTATAATGATGTAAAATCAAGATAATTAAATCTATCCTCACCCTTTGAAGTGTTTAATGCATTGCAATGTGATGAGCCAATTCTGAATGATAACTATTGACATTGTGTTGACTGTTCAAAGTAGTGTGGTTTGACAGGAGGAGATGTGGGGAGGAAATAAAGTTGGCACTTCTTTCATCTGTATTATCCTTTGCCCCGTATTCCTAATGCCATACATGTTTATCTGTTTGCATGCTATGGGGAATGGGCTGGAAATTGGTGATTATGCTTGTATGTGTTTTTGAGAGCTCCAGATAAGAGACTTTTGTGTGCGTTGTGTTTTATAATGATGAGACCCCCTCCAGTCCACCTCCAGCTCCACAGAAATGGGCATCTGATAATGAGACAGTGCTGTACACATCATTATCTCAATTTTACCCACATTCTGCGGTTTTTGCCTGCTAAAACACATACTTGTATCATGTCAATAACAGTCAGTGAAGGCAGCAGTAATGTGAATGTGTTTTCAGCCTGAGAAAACCCTTTGTTTTTAATGTTAAGTGGAAGTGGGATTTAAGTCCCACTGTTGGTGGGATTTGTTTTAAACAGAGGTGTGTGAATGAAACTTTTTTTATTTTTAATTGCTTTTCCTATTACTTTGTGGCTGCTTATCATCGTTCAGCATGCCAGAGAGAAGCAAATTTATTACCACCGCTCATTAAAAAACATGGAGCCTGTTAATGCCTGTAAGCCTGCATTAAGCAACATTGATCCATCCATTTTCAGTAGTTGCTTTATCTGTGAGAGAATCACAATGGCCCTGAGCCTAACCCAGCAGGCACAGGGCACATGGTGGGACCACATGTTAGAAGGGACACTTGCTCATCAAAGGCTGCACATATACAAACCTGTGGGGCATTTTAGAGACTCCTAGTGTATGGGAGGATTTTAGGACCTAAAGAAAACCAATGTGAACATGGGCAGAACATGCAAACTCCAGATTCAAACCCAAGAGCCACAGTCCTACCAATGCTGCCCACTATAGGGATCAGCCGTCTATGCTGTAATTCACGTGGAACTGTGTACAAAATATCCAGTCTAGTATTGTGGTTTAAAAATGTTTACATGGGCCTACAATCTGTAATTTATGGCATTGCTTTTACAATGTTTTGTATTGCACATTGCATGTTCTTGGGTGTTCCTAACCCTACCCAATCTGCAGCCAATTATATTTTTTAATCTCTGCATCACTGTATACTGTATGTTGTGCCCAATACACTTCCCATATTCTGAATTTTGGTAGGTAGAGTTTGTGATTATTTTATGTACACACAAGCATAGATTACAAAACAAGGTCTTGCTTGCCTCCGATACATGGAAGAAAATGGTAGGTTATTACGGAAGGAGAGGTTTGAAAAAAGCACTGTTGGGGAGTGGAGTAAAAGTGGTTTCTCTGCACCAGGTGTGCGAGATTCTGTGTCCCATACTGCTCGTCCAGATGTGTCCAGGACTGACGACCCCCCTGTCCTGCTGGACCTTCCTGAAAACAGATCAACTGTCCCGTAAGTAAGAGCCCTCCATTGCCATCTGTTGGATTCTATGTGCATCTACTGTGTAGCCTGTACGGTACTACAAATACGTCCAATGCTAAAGTACTGATGTGATTTTCAGAGAGGATTCTCTCAGATATGTTATATCTGTAATTTGCAATAAGCCTCAGATCTCTTTTCTTCACCCCTCACCTGTCAATAAAAATGCAAGCAGGGGTTTCTTTCACCCAGTTGGTGATTGTAGGGAAATGCTGTGAAAAATAAGTGTTCTGTCCCTGTCCTCCAATGAGGAGATTTGGATTTTCCTGTTTTCACCTTTCAGAGGATTTAAAGCGAAAAGATAATCGGCACCTCTCTACCCCCCACACACTCTCACCCAAACATCAGCCACAAGGGTCATGGAGACTGTTTTATCCCATCCATTCTCTTTATCCTATACAGAGTCACAGGGGAGCTAGAGACTATCCCAGCAAGCAGTGGGTGCAGGGACACACAGACACAAACATGAACACAAAAAAGAGACAATTTTCTGCAGAAGCCAGTTAACCTAGCACTATGTCTTTGTAGTGTAGGAGGAAAACGGAGCACTTAAGGAAACCCATGTGAACACAGGGTGAACCTGAAAGCTCCATGCAGATAGTTCCCCAGGAATAGAACCCAGGGCCCCAGCACTGCTTGGCAGAAATGCTAACCACTGCACCGCCCTTGAACTGTTTTAGATTTTACCTTAAATATACATTATACTGTATATATTTTTAACACATACAGCACACACACAAGATGCAATACGTCAAATTCAGGCAGGTCTCCCTAATTCTGTTATTAAGTACTGTAAAAACCATGGAGCAAAGTCCTCATTGGGTGTGCTGATACCATCTGCCTAGCTGCTTGCAAATTTGATTTTCTGCAGAACAAACATGAGCGTTGCGAATTAGGGCCCAGCGCAGGTCAGCGTGTTGTGACGGAGGAAGCTGTGATGCGTCAGTACCTTTCTTCTCCACTCTTGTCAGGCCCGCCCAGGACGCTCCGGACAGGTGTAACACGCACTTTGACGCAGTGGCTCAGATTCGGGGAGAGGCTTTCTTTTTCAAAGGTACTGGCTGTGCGCTCTGCTGCATGCCTAAGATTTCAAAAGGGGAATAATAACTACTTCAGAACATTTAGAATTACTGTGCACTTGATCTTGTGAACTAATAGGTTTTGGTGTGATATGTTTGGTTTGGGTTGTTTCCTTTGCCCTGACTTTACATGCCATTTGAGAGATGGTCAAAATAGTCATGGGTTAGGTAATGCTGTGACCACTGGAAATATAATTTCTAATAAACTTGATTTTAAAAATGCCTGTAAGTGAATGCAAGATAAAATTGAATTAATTGCAAAGGGAAAAATGTTTTCTTGGTACATGAAAAAAATTATCTCCATTAATATGAGATTTTTTTTCTCTTTAAAATACCTATATTATATATAATAAAGGTATATATATTTTAAACCCCGTAGTTTGCTGTTCTGAATATGATCATCTTTAGAATTCTTGGAAAGGTGATGATGACTTTCAAGGTTTCCTTTTTCTGGTTCACAGAACCTCAATACTTTTCACTGTATTCATTCTGCATTAATCATATATTTACACCACATCCATCAATCTAACTGCTTCATCCAATTTAGGGTAGCGGGGAGGCCAGAGTTTATCCTAGAAAGCAACATGCACAAAGGATACACCCTGGACAGGATGTCAATCCATCGCCGGGCACACACAGACAGATACACTCTCAGCAGGGCCAATTTTCCCAGAAGCCAATTAACTTACCAGAAGTTTTTGGACTGTGGGAGGAAACAGAAAACCCTTATGAACATGGGGAGAACATCGCAACAGCATCACAGGAATTTAACCCAGGGCCCCAGTACTGTGCCAAACCAAAACACATCATATATGTAGGTATTCAATAGACGTAAGTCACAGTTAGCTGAATACCTATACAATTCTCTTAACTTTTCTTTTTTCAAAGCCCCACCCTGGTTATGTGTGATACAGCTATATATCTCTTAAGCTCCCTCTCTCAGTCCATATACACACAGAGAAAGATACATTACTAGATTCAGTTTACAAACAGTGTCTTTTTGAAATATTTATATTGCTTTTTTCATTGTTCTTCATAGTTTATCTGTATGGCCTTGTAAAGTCTTGTAAAAGCGAGAATGTGCTCTTTTTGCAAAGAGTCTGGTGTATAATTTTTTTAGAAAATATCAGCAGTATATGAAAACCCTTGTCTTTCAATAAAAGAAGGTCAGCAGATGTCTGGCTGAGATCATAGATGTTTTTGGAAAGGAAAGGTTATTCTGGTTCAGCGATCATTCTGGGCAGTTCTTCATTGAATTCCTGTCCTTCTTCCTTCTTTTGTTTCCAAATCCAACACCCTCATATTTCTCCAAGAAAAGAAAAAAAACACCCCCTCTGTCATAACCTTCAATGTGGTGTAGTTTCAATAGCTTGGTTGTCTGTGAAGTTGCATATTTTTGAAAATGTGCAGTTTTTCTACTATTAGTTGTTAAGTCAAGGGTGGCACAGTAAGCAGTTGTTAGCATTGCTGCCTCGCAGAGCAGGGGCCCTGGGTTCCATTCCTGGGATTTTATGTGAATATACAGTAGTTTGTTTATTGTGCTTGTTGCTTGCTGGGATACGCAGCGGCTCCCACATGACCTGTATTTGATAAATGGACCAGATGGGTTGTTAAACACAGAAATGATTGTGTCCCTTTTCACAGGAAAGTATTTTTGGCGTCTGACCAGAGAAAAACACCTTGTCTCACTGCGACCTGCTCAGATTCATCGGTTCTGGAGAGGCCTGCCCTTAAACCTGGACAGTGTGGATGCAGTCTACGAGAGACCCAGCGATCACAAGATTGTCTTTTTCAAAGGTACTGCGCTATGGATGCAGCCCTGAGTTTTGAGAGTTCTGCTCTTCACTCACACACCAAATATAATCTACCAAGGAGCAAGTAAAGGTTAATACCAAGCTGAGAACTAGGAAGAAGAAACAAGTTAATATTATTCCCAGGCAAGCCAGAGCTCGCAACCCCTGGTCTCCATAGCAACCGGCCTCGTTCACTTGAGGAATCAAACACCTCCTGGTGCCGTAAGAACACGATCAGGGCGGCTGTCAGTGCCTCCTATCCCTGCTTAACAGATACTGTAATTACCTCATCAGCTCCAAGATACTTTAACCCTGCCCTGTTCTCAGTCAGACACTGTCATTGAGTTTCCTACTCACTTATGGAAGGGCTCCTCTCAGTAACCAGTCTGCTGGGAAGACTTCAAGGACTCAAGAGACAACCCAACGGCCAGCCAGATCTCCGCCTGTCTCCTGTTTGCTACACGTCTGTGTGCTGTCCACTCCCTCTTCCGTCCACCTCCTGTCTGCCTCTCCATTGCATCCTCAGCTCTCGCCTGTCAGCTCGTCTTCACTGGGACCCAGAGAGTGGATTTCTCAGTGTTATACAGATACCCATTCAACTGTCGCAGTTTCTTCTTCCTACTTTTCAGCATTGCATTATGTGCTCACCCTGTTCATTTGCAGAAAATGCACACTGATGCAAATCCTTACTCAAACATATAATATGCATTCTTTTAAGAATGACCTCTCTTTGTAGAATTTTGGAAGCAGTAGCTGAAAATACTAAATGACAGTGGCACTCTGCAGTGATCACCATAAAGTCTTCTATAAGTGTGGAGCAGCGTTTAGGACTCAACGCCTGACCATCAGGTTGTGAAATCGGATTCCACTGGGGACAGTCCTACTGCACCCTTGAACAAGTTGCTTTACCCAGAATACTCCAGCAAACCCAGCAGTATAACCTGGTATTACACGTAGTGTGGATATTGTTGTAGGTGGAAGCATTAGCCAAATTAATTCAAAAGATTTTAAAGCTTTCAAGGTATCTTTATATTTGAAAACAAATTCTTCCTTGTGTCCCACTCTTTTTTAACAGTTGAGCTGATGAACTATTGGCTTGTAGATCTGCTTTTTGTTGTCAGACTGTACTCCCTCTCCCTCAGGACTTGACAACCCTGTTTTGCTTTCGCCTCAGGAGAGAAGTACTGGGTGTTTAAGGACAACAATGTAGAGGAGGGATACCCAAGGCTAACCAGTGACTTCGGCCTGCCCCTTGAAGGAGTGGATGCTGCCTTTGTTTGGCCACACAATGACAAGACCTATTTCTTCATGGACAGACGCTACTGGAGGTATGATGACCATCTACGGCGGATGGATCTGGGGTACCCAAAGGACACTATGCTATGGAAAGGAGTTCCGACACTTCTCGATGACGCCATGCGGTGGTCTGACGGTGAGTAGCCCTTGATGTTCTGCAGGGGAACAGTTTGTCATCTGTGTATCGCAGAAAGGGAAAGGGATGGGGAGGAGCTGGCTGTGGAAGCTGCAAAGCCTTTAAGTCGTAGCCTTAGTGTGAAAAGAAGTGGTTGTTATTTGGGATTATTTTCTCAGCAGGCATTGAGTTTTGAGACTAAGAGAAACTGGAGCAAGTGGGGTTTCAGAGGGATTATGCTTGTTGTTGCTGCAAAGTGCAGGGTTCTGCAGCGATGTGTAGCTTACACTACTTACTGTTGTTCAGTTCTGTACCTGTCAATCCCTTTAGTGAGGTGATGTCAAAATGATGGCTGAGGTTTTCCAAACTTTTCCAATAGTTCAGAGTCTCAGAAAGTCATAATTTTGCCTGGAGCAAAAGCGCCAGCTCAAAGCAGTGGCCTAATGTGCTAAAATGGGAAACTAGACAGAATTGCATGTATTTATCCTCTGCATTGACATCACTTCTTCTTGTAGGGTGAATCTAATGACTCCTTTTTAATTGGCCTTTGATGAAGGTAGCCAAGGAGATGAAGAATAAACACAATTTCCCAGTTTTGACATAACATTGAGAGAGGCAGCATTAGTCTTCCCGAGGTTGTTGAGCAGTGGGCTGCTTGAATTGGACTTATGAATCCTGACTGTTTCAGTCTCGCTGCACTTATATAAATGCAATGAAAGCAATCTGAGACTTCTGAAGCTCTGTATTTAATGGCACTCTGTCAGCTGCTCTGGCACACACCTCACGTTGAGACACTACTTTCGTGAATTGTCATGGCACTTTTCATCTGTAATTACTGCTTCTATGGAGGAGCCTGACTTGCAATAAAGATGAAATTAAAACATTCTTTGTGGAAAGGTTTTATGAATAAAGTCTATGAAATACCTCAAAGGAGAAATTTGCTGGTTAACATTTCAATATGGGTCAGAAAATACAGTGACAATAATCAGGATCAATACTAATGATTAAGCCTGAAATAGGTTGAGAGGCATTAAAAATTATTTTGCTTCCAATTTTTGCCCAAAAGTATGTGTTCAAAAATTATCAGTAAAAAGCATTTTGTTTTGAATCATTCAGGTATTGATCTGATGATCAAATTAAAAAAAAAACTATTTTTGGTCATTTGCATGTTATTAATAGATAATATATGCTAGAATGGTTTGCAATAATGCAAATGTGGATGGGAGCATGGATCTTGTTTGTTTTCTCTCCACACCGCTGTGCTCTCTTTGCAAGCCTGACACTGTTTAAACCTTTAGAAGTGCAGTCCTAAAGAATACATGTGGGGGAAGTGGTTCCCACCACATAAGAAAATCTGAAAGGCACCCCACAGGTGTTCCAATTCTCATGACAACTCGTATGAAAATGAACTAAGGAAAATGCACAAGACCACAAAAGACAAGTAGAATAGCCATTTTGTATCTTGTAATTGGATAAAGTGGTTACAGTGCTGTATGTGTTAGCAGTGAATAACATTAACGCATCACTCAGTGTTAAATAACGGTAATGGTGGCTTCCCCTCCTCCACAGGCTCCTCATACTTCTTCAAAGGGAAGGAGTACTGGCGGGTACAGGGCAGCGATATGGAGGTGGAAGTGGGGTACCCCCGATCCATCGGCAAGGACTGGCTGGCATGCAGAGAGATGCAGTCGGACTCTCCAGCCGCGGACGGCAACGGCACGGAGACGCGCTCCCAGGGGCAGCACCACGTCAGTCACGCGGAGAACGGCTACGAGGTCTGCTCCTGCACCTCGGCCGCCACGCCCCGCGGCCCCCTCTCCCGGACACGCGTCGGCCGGCTCCTCCCCCTCTGGCCGTGGACCCTCGCGGTGGTGCTGACCGCGCCGCTATGATAACGGCACGGGAGAGACAGGGGCGACCGTCTGGGCCGAAGGACAAGAGAAGTCTGGGCCGAAGGACAAGAGATGAAGACACCGGTGGCTGGGGCTGGTCTCGCCTATCGTGTCCGCCTCACAGCGATGCACTCCTGGGAGCAAGTAGAGGCGAATTCTGTGCTGAACTGAACAACAAAAGAAAAAAATAACACGATGAAGAACCCTCCACAGCTGAAATATTGTTTTCTCTTTTTGACTTTTCAGCGTGGAATTCACCTCTATTTGATTCTTGTCAGTCTGCACTCTGACACACCTTCCCAATCAAACCTCTTCAAACTACTGCCCGGTAATACCTGTCAGATTACTCGTTACAACAAGCAAAACATGGGATTTTAGATGATGATGATTATTATTATTAGTGCTGAAATTATAGGCCTACCTGAATTCTCTGAAATCTCATCTTCGAACCCTTGTTTCCAGATGTGTCACTTCCTATTCTCCAGGGGCTCATTGAATCTTCCCACGCCACCAGGTATTTCCTGTGGAACTTGTGACTGACAGATGGATTGGATGTTTCCTTGAATCAAGACCTGTATCTGTTTAAGAACAAAATGAACTGGTGCCCAGGCTTTAAAACACAATGCTAAAGGAATGATTTATTTTTTGTACCATTTACCGTCTTCAGTTTTCAAGGGATTCTGCAAAGATCTGATTGTATAATAGGAAACATAATTTAGCCACAGCAAAATTGACCAAATGCAGATTTGCTGTTTGAAGTACAGAAGATGAATGTCTGTACAAGTTGGTAAGGGGAAAAGCTCCCTTTATTGAGTTACCATAACTCTTAAGTTTATTAAGAGATATGGTTTTTAAGAAATTGGCATTTCCTATTTTGTAAAATCCTACAAGTCATAATACTTCTTTGCAGGATCCAATGTAGGATAAATGTTATATAACTTATCCTAAATTGACTGCACAGACTTACGACGCCACTTCTTTGGAAACAGAGTCCCAGCTTGTTCTCGTTTTGTGCACTATTGAGATATACCTGCTGACAGCACAATGTGCGCTACAGTATATTCTGTAAGATTTTACTAGAATGTTTTTTTTTTGCTCTGCTCTGCAGCATCCCCCCCCCCACCACCATTTGTAAGAATGAGCAAAGCTTTTTGAACTGAAAATGATCAGGCATGAACAGGAAATGTATAGAAACCCTTTTTTACACTGCCTAGATGATGCATAGCCATCACATTTTGCAAGCAGGACTGAATGAAGTGAATGGCAATTACTTTGTTTCTTTTCTGAACTTGCACTGCTTTGGGTAGTGTCAATAGGCATATATCCTTTGAAACCTTTTCCAGGCTGGTGGAATCATATAAGTAACACCAATTAAATGGGATTCAAGGAATGGGAATGGGGAATGGGTTCAAGGGCTGTATGCTTTTTCAAACAATGTTCAGTTTCACCCAAGGTTCTGAGTTATAGGCCTGTATCACTACTGAAGAACTTTAAAATTGAATGGAAATTTGTACTGATATTAATTCAAAAAGTGTCAAATATTCAACACATACAGTTTATATATATATTTATATATATTTTAGGAGAATAATGTGGTGGTTGAAATGTAGGAATCATAAGCCAATGGTTTTCTAATTTATGAAATATTTTCATACAAAATGATGAAAATAAAATCCATTGTATTATGAATAAAAATGTCTGGATATTAAGTTTGGAAGCATACCCAAGAAACATCAGTGGAAATCTAAAGAGTTACTTTAAATGATGGAGTAAATATAAACAAAGTGTTTGAGCTTGGTCTTATTTCTGATGCACAGCAACAAAAAAATGTGCTTTGCCTTTATGTTCTCCATTAAAATGAAAACAAATAGTAGTGTGTATTTCAAATGGCAGTGCAAATTGTTTTTTGTTGCTTTAAATATTCAACAAATATTGGTAAATTGGGACATTCTTTAACATCTCATCTTATTTCTCTCTTTTTACTGAGAAATATTGTGCTCTTTCAGTAATGTGCTCCACTGCTAATTTAAATTTGTTTCTATAAAACTGAAATAGTTATATATTATACAAGGGCTTTTTCATATTTCAGTGTGGTTATCACGTTGGGTTTGGACACCTTGTCTGGAAAAACTGTTCCTGGATCAAAATTCAGCAAACCTGGCAGGTGTTTTTTTCTTTTAGTTTGTTAGAAACTATAAGAATACAGTTATAGAAATCAGCTGTTTGTGACTGAGTTTCAGAGTCTCAAAGAATTTGTTTTCCCTGCGGCTGCAGAAAAAGTTGTTTTGATGTCTTTCATTTTTTTCCAGCCCTCTCCCACTCCACCCTTGAAACACTGGAATCCTGACCATCCTATCTCCAGAATGCTAAATAGAAAATCCAGAATACTAAGCAGGCTAGAAGAGATATCAACTGGCCGAAGTGACTGTTTTCCAGTCTCTGTCAGCCTCAATTCCTCACTTCAGAAACACGACATCATGACTGTCCTTTTGAAATGAATAATGTTTTCCGCCAATTGTTCTGAAAGGTACTGTAGAGGGTATAATGATTTCCTATGGGTGCTCATTAAAAGGTCTTCTGCTTTATGAGGGACAGATCTTTTGTAGCCCAAAGCTTCTTGCCTCTAATTCTTCCAACCAGCTGCTTTGGGAAATTCCTGTCTGACTGGCAGGACTGTGTCTGCTCGCTTGTGAGTAGCTCATAAGAACCTGTCTGAATTCAAGTCACACTGGCTTTCCACAGCTGTCGGCGAACAATGATTCTCAGTCACTCTCAGGGTCCTTGCTGTATCTTAGCCTGGGTCACAGAGCAGTCAATAAAGGCAGAGAGCACGTTCACAAGCCATTTGACATTTTTGAATATAATGTAGAGATGGTTTAATACCCTGCAAAGTTATTTCTGCTGGACGTTTTCTGAAACATCCAGACCTGAGAGATTCGGAAGGGGGGGCACAGCGTTAAGGAAAACATCTATGGAAAGCCGGAGAGCTCATTTTATTCCTGAAAAGTGCAAATACATTAAATACAGATAAAACAATAAACCTTTTTATGATGATGTTCAATTGAATTAGTATGTTACTGATATCTATTTTTGTTAGTGAAGAGAAGCTTCGGTTCATGGTTTGGGCTGAGCTCTTCCTCGAATACTGTATATCATTAAACATTTTCCAGGAAACCTCAGGAGTCTATTCAAATACCAGTTTGGAAACCACATGTGCAGGAACGTGGCTGTAGATGCCACTAATGTGTAAAAAGCAACATTTCTTTCTCGTTATATTGTTTCAATAAATTATTGGTATATTTTAATCAACCCCTTTTATTTCTTTATATAAGAAATGTTTGTACTTCTGCAATTACATTTCAGCTAAGAACAGAAAAACTTTTGATTTGTGACGTGTGCATTAGAATTTTAAAGAATGGGACTATTTACTCTAAATGGTGTCTGGATGTTATTTCAGGTGGTTTTCATTCTTACGGAGAGTGTGAGGAATCATACTTTTTACTGTTTAGGTGCAGATCTACAGAGGTGTCCCAAGTTATGAACAGGGAACTGTCTGACTTCTTTCTAGCTCTGCTATATTAGTATCTTTTCATTATGTAAATTTGTCATGAAGAGTGCCTCTTCACTGTGTGCACCATCTAAAATCACTTTACTGCAAGCATGTTATCAACAGGGCATTGAGAAATGAACAGTACAAATGTCAGAGAATTTATTGAGTTTTCCTGTTCGTGTTTTTCCCTGTTAAAATTGCTAACTTTGGAAGACAGACAAATATTACGATGAAACTTTAGCCAGACATTGTCTTCAGGTTTTGTGTTTAGTTAACCACCTTCTAATGGAGTAGTAGAACATAGAAGAGCATATCCTTTTAAATCTGTGTCTGAAGAGAATACAAATCATCTTTAATTCATTATAGTATTTATTTCTTTCATACATTGGATTAGTATCAATATGTTTTGAGTCCCATACTTAAGACATTTCATATCACATCATCACATCACTTTCAATAACTGCTTATGTAAATCAGGGTAAGCCTATCCCAGCAAGACAGGAGACACCCTGGCTGGTGTGTGTTGAGTAAGACAGGGAAATTACAAGGACGTGCAGTTAAGACTGAGATCTGGGGAACGCAAAGAGCTATTGATCCTGTTGTTGGGGGTCTTCAAAAAATATCTGCATATGCTTTGCAGGCAGGTAAAAGACATAACTCACCACACAACACATTTAATACAACTTGAACCCATTAAGGAATAATAGATGTGAATAATAGATAAT